TATATATATATATATATATATATATGTATATATATATATATATATATATCCAGCAAATAAGACGACGTCAAATGACGTCTTAATGACGTATTATTGACGTCTCTAACGTCATTTGACGTCATCTTATTTGCTGGGTAGATGCAAAATTCATATATATGAATCATATATAAAAAATTATATATAATTTTATATAATTATATATAATCATTCCCTCTCCCGGGTTCTCTCATTTTCTCTCTAGTACGATTGACCACAAAGCTATTTAATTCACGACGAAATTGCAACAGGTATCGGCAGAGATCTGGCTCTGCGTCTCTCGAAGTACGGAGGACAGGTGTTCGCACTGTCGAAGACACAGAAGAACTTGGAGAACTTAGCCGCGGCTAGCCCAAAGATTCGGACGATCTGTGTTGATCTTCGCGACTGGGACGCGACCAGGAAGGCTGTGCAGAGTGTCTTGCCGATCGATCTCCTAGTCAACAATGCCGGCGTCGCCGTCTTGTCACCATTTTTGGACGCCACGCCCGAGCAGTTCGACCTGATTATCGATGTCAATGTGAAGGCTATATTGAACGTGTCTCAGATTGTAGCTAGGGGCATGATCGAGCGGAAAAGTGGCGGCAGCATCGTAAATATATCGTCGCAGGCCAGTCAGGCGGCACTCAAGGATCACGCCGTTTATTGCACATCCAAAGCCGCTGTTGATATGTTATCAAAGTAAGATAATTAATATTATCATGCGGGAAACGAATTAGCGCTTTAGCCAACATCTGCGCCTCGGTTACTAATAACGAACGAAGCGTAAAAGATAGAAAAACTCTCATATTTCACGTCAAACTAGCGTTCAAATAAATGTGAAATATACATGAGATGCGAAGGGGAGAAAGTTTTCAAATATTTACAAGGCGAAATTGACCGATTTAATCTAGATGTTTACTTTGCAAAAAATGTAATCGCGTGTTATCCTTCGTTTCACAGTTTCGCGACAGTCTTCTCCGCTTTAATTCATCCCTAGTAAACACCAATCAATAGTAAACATTACATCATTGACATAATTTTCCACTTTATCACATATTACATATGTTATACTGCACTTTCATTGTTGAGTGGGAAATTATAATATTGATTATTAATATTGATGCACCCAACCAAAATGTAATCTTATTTTTAATGAAAATTCTCTTGTATAGGATGTCTAATACAGTGTCCTACACCTCATGCACCTCATGTAGATTAGGTCAAGTTGAGCAAGAAAATCCTGTGCCATTTTGCAAATAATCACGCAGATTCTTTAGTTATTAATTAAAGAAAATCGACGGATAATTACGCGTAATTATTTTCGCAATTATTATATTTCCAATATAATATTTAATCGTTAAAAGTAAGTTACAATATAAAACCAAAGGAATTGATACCTTTTTATATGAGCTGAAATGTGAGAAATAGAAATTTCCGATATAAGTATTAAGTGTACAGATAAAATTATGTAGTATTTCAATAACATTTGTATATATATAAATATATATATACACATTTCTATAAATCCTTGTCGGGTTTTTTAAGCAGGGAGATCGACTGCAACTTGGTTAAAGAATCTTTTAACATCCTATATTTGATCATATTGTAGGGCAATGGCTAACGAATTAGGTCCGCACAATATAAGGGTCAACACTGTGAATCCTACGGTCATTATGACAGAAATGGGAAAGTTGGGTTGGAGCGATCCACAGAAGGCACAAGAGATGTTGAGCAAAATTCCACTTGGTCGATTCGGCGGTACGTTAACATTGATTAACTTTAATATTTAACTAATTTGGGACCTTTTCAAACACTAAATGTAAATATAAATAATTTAAAGACTACTAGTTTAATAGCGATTTCAGTAACTTGCACTAGTGCGCGTTAAGGCTTGTTTACAGTACATTCTTATATTTAAGATCGTATCTTAAGTACATATTTAAAAACATTTTAGCTAATAAAATGATTCGTACGGATGTTGTACATATCATATTACTGGTTAAAAATATTTGAGAATTTATTTAAGACAATCTTTAAATATAATAACATACTATAAACAAGCCTTAGTGTGCATTCAGTACAAGCAACCGAATTCGCTATAAGATACTGTAAATATTGTTGCAGAGGTTGACGAGGTGGTGGATGCTATTGTATACTTATTGAGTGACCGAAGTTCTATGATCAACGGAGTCTGCTTGCCCATTGACGGTGGTTTCTTAGCTACATAAATCAACGATAATTCGTCATCTTGAAGAAAAAAACATTTGATCGTTATAGGCAGATAGATATATGTTCTTAAAGCTTCTGATTCTTAGCCGCGAAACTCCTGATTGGTAATATTAGAAGTGAGAAAACTACTACATGCCCAAAATTCTTACGTGCGATTTTCAAAGAAAAAATATTTGTATGAAAGTACACTTGAGATCATTTGTACATTTTTGTAAAATGCTTTGGAAACCGTTCTTTTCCCTTGATAATAAATAAATAGTATAGAGCACTTCGTGAAGAAATGTGAAATAACAAGGAAATGGTTCAAAGATTTGGGAAAAGATGAGGAAGAAAGAATAAAGAGAGGATTTGGAATGAAGTGTTAGATGGAAAAAGTAATCAGTAAATTATGAACAGAAAAAGAAAAAGCAAAGAAATTAAAGAAAAATGGAGAAAGAAATGGAAAGTATAATGGATGAAGAGATATAATGTACAAAGTTTGAATTAGGTAGATTTAGAAGAGATTAGATTAAGTTAGGTAGGACTTCCGTTTCCGGAGTGGATGTGCGTGGACGTGTAGGCTAGAAGTTGATTAAGTTAGGTAGAAGCGAATGAATGCAGGGATATATGCGTGGAATGGATGAATGAGCTAAGGAATAAATTGTAAACTAAATCCCTACTTCTTGGCTTAAGCTGAAGTAAGAATAAATTGATTGATAATAAATAAATAGCTGTAAAATTAACGTGACAAAATAATGAGAAACGAGTTAAAGAGAAAAGTTGTGTGTCACGTTTTACAACTGTAAATAGTTTTCGGAGTATTTTATAGATTAGCTCAAGTGATCTGAAATGTGTTCTCTCATTTAAATATCTTTTTATACTGAATATATTTAAATATCTTTTTATTTAAAAATAGCAAGAATATTCAGCGTGTCGTTTCTCCCCTCTAACGCCATAATCCAACATTATCGCGGCAAGCAACCAGGAGTCTTAAAATTTATGACCTGTGAAAATCAATAAAGTTACATGTCTGCGCGTTTTGAAAGTAACCACACTGTTTACATACTACGTTTAAAATAAGGACGTGGAAAGGAAATAAACAATTGATTATTATTGATTAGTACTGAGGATAAACTTGGATGGAGTTGATGAGTGAAGAGCCACGTGAGCTTCGTTCATTTCGTTTAATTTAAAAAATGCTTCGTTTCCTCTTTTCTTCATCTCCAACTAGGTTCGACAAACAGGCGGCGACAGAGGAGGCCGCGAAAGGACGAGACACGGACACGCCTGAACGCGGATACGCTCCCGCCGAGTATTTTCGAAAATATCCTACCGAAATGCAGTGCACGCACGTGATTCGCGAGACCTCCTCTGTCGCGGCTACACTCGATCTAAGAACGCGAACGCTTCTTTCGGCTCCTAATTTGCTCCTACGGTAAACATAACGTGGCGGAGAAACTAAGACGGCCTGCTGAGAAGGAAACAATACAAATTCTTGATCTTGCACACACACACACACACACATTCTTTTTTTTTCTCTCTCTCTCTCTCTCTCTTTCTCTTTCTCTCTCTCACGACTTGCCGCTGACGAGATGTATTTCAATTTCGTTCCGCACGGCTAGACGCTACATCGGGTGTACGAACTAAGTGCCGAATGCGAAACGCGAACTTAATTAGGACACGTAGCCTCCCGTAATTGCCTTTCCAATCGTGAAACATGTCTGAACAACACTGACACTCGGTAATACATTCTTATTCTCGAAGCAGACTCGCACACTCGTCGAGACGGCGAGTCCTCCGACCGTCAAAACGCACTAAACAACTTGCAATCGCTATCCACCGGCTCCTCCAGTCGAAACTTGAGCGAGCGTAACGCCGTCGCGTCTTGTATTTTACGTCAGCCGTTCCTCGCTCTTTTTATATAACTATACAGTTTCGGCCAGAGTGGAGCGCGAGGCGAAGGTCAAATTTCCTAACGTCGCTCATCTCGTGTGACGTGATCTCCCTGATATCGTGAACGTTGTCAGGGAGCGAACGATAGCTTTAATTTATACAACATCATTCTCGCAATTTATTGCAGATCAACAGGCAGAGTGCTATCCCTGCCGTTTCACGCCCTTGTCTCCCCTCGACAAGTATCGCTGGTGAACCAAGCGTTTATCGTCGTCGAACAAGCGTCGTACGGTAATGACGATTTCTCCTCGTTTCTTCCTTCTTGTTACAATTAAATAGTTCACTGTTCTTAGGCGAAGATGTGATATATACGTTGATGCAAGTGCTATACATAAAAATGATCAATCACGGTGATCTTGAATCAACAAGGGCGGGATGCAACAGGAGGAAACTACACTCTGCGGTGCAACGAAAGATGCACAGGTATTAACCCATTTACATTTCTCTTTACAACGGTGTATTCTGTCTGCGCGCAGGATAAATAAATAACTAAAATATGTCTGATCCAAGATTACGATATGGAGACAAACATTTCCTCTTAACAAGTATAAGTAAAAATATATCGCAAATGTAGGTCCTTATTCTGAACTCTATTTTGTCAATAAAAGCAACGTGACGGAAAACGTAATGGATAATTAGAAAGAATGTTTACCTAAATCGAAATAAAATTACTAAATGATCTCTTAAAGACGTTCAAAAGATGTCTAAAAGAAACAGAATATTTAAGACAAATTTTATAATTTTTATAAGCCACATTTACATAGAAAAAATTAGTATTCATTTAAAACTAATAAACTTGAATTAACAATCATTGTTTTATATATAAACAATATATAATTTTATTAGAAAATCAGTTTTAAAATTTTGTATTTCAACAATGTTATAATTTTACTTGAATATTATAATAGTCTCATAAGAAGTATAATATAATTATTTTGATCATAATATTTCCTTCCGATATTTAGAAACATTATATCCTCAAATATATCTAGTGTTTTGAGTTCTCGAAAATTACTTTTGAATAATAAGAATAGATTCTTCTTTGTGTATTAAATTATATAAAATATATTACTGCAAATAAATTATCTTAATTTAATATTGTGTAATCTCATTTGAAAAGTAACACATATAAAAAATAAAGACATTTTTTAAAAATATTCTTTTTTTTCCGTGCAAAGATACTTTTATCGATAAAACGTTCAGAATAAAAGCCATAGAAACTAAATTTTCAAAGAAATTGAATAACAAATTAATTATTTATTAAACCACTGAAACTTTTGAAGATGATCTCTGTAGACTGTCTGAATTGAAAGCAAGCAAGAGCGTAGATCTCGAATGTACATGGGTTAATGATTGCATCATTCGACTGACTATACGACGACGACTGATATCTCGAGTTCTCTCGCCAAGCCAGAACGAAGTACAAATGCAAAGCAACCGAGAAACAGGGTTATTATATCGAACACACCAAACTGTTCCATTTTCCATTTCTCTCTGCCCAAAACGCTTCAACTATAGGTATGGTTGTTGTTTTTTTTTGTCATATGGTACACAAAGACAGCTTACAGTATTTATTATTTAGTCGTTCTGGGTTTCGCCGTTGTCTCTTCGACTTTATCGGACTCTTTTATCTAAATCTCCCTCCCTCACATACGGACACACACAAACACATACTCTCATACATACTCTTTGTCACGTACACACGCACACACACGCGCGCGCGCGCGTACTCTCACTTTTTCCACGAGCACACTAACACATTATTATTATAATGCTCTTTTTGCCTCAATAGATTATAATAGTAATTATATATACATGTACAAACCGTTCGCCTTGATACACAGTTCGATTAGTACACTTAGAATACATCGATCGCGAATTATCATCGACACCTGCCGTAATCGTCGTGACGTCTTATCGCCGAGGGAGGCCATCGGAGTTATTCGTCGCTTCTTTCAAATCGACTGGAGCCCCTCAATGTGAACTCCCACGTGCTCGCAAGAACTCGTCACGTACGTATTCGCGAAAGCTTTCCTAGGCCGGCCGAACAAGCATGTACGTTTCATAACTATAACCCACAATTGCGCAACAAAAAAAAACGCATTCTCTCTCAGTAATTACAGCTTTCGGAGCGACAGTTCGCATCTCCCTCGTGGCCTGGAAACGCAGGACCAACCGCAGGATGTGGAAACAAATTATCGGCCGCTGAGCATGTTATCAAAAGTTGCCCGGATATCAATTTCGTTTGTCATCAGTCAGAAGATTGAAGTCTTCAGTCAAGAGAAAATTAGTACGATTCTTCATGTAATAACAAACGCAAACATTTTATTAAGCAAATAGATGGTTTTTATACACAAAGAGGAAAGTTTGGTGAATGGATTTCCTCATTCTCTTAGAGAAATTAATTTCACATTAATACACCAAAAAATTTTCTTTCTATATATTTATATAAAAACCATCTCAATACAAGGTGAATCAATAACTGTTGTCATTGATGTCAGATCATCTTGAATATCTTCGAAACAAGAAATGAAGGTAATCTTCAGATTTTCAAAGCTTTCTATTTGTAGAAAAAAACTTATTGTGGTAGAGTTATTCTTTTTTCTGGATACAGTTTCGAGGACTTTAAGGTTCTTTCTGCTTCAAAGATATTCAAGTATATTATTGTTATTGACTCACTCTGCATATTTTTACTCAAGAAAGTCGTTTACCCCACTACAAAATGCGTTAAATCTGATAAATTCTTTAAATGTTTCTTGATAGTTATGTACTGATTGTAAAATATTTCCTCCCACAAGTGAATCTTGATAAAAAAAAAAAAAAGAAATTGCAACTCGTGAGAGAAACATCTGTATAACAATGTTGAGTAAGACAGAAAAGTGAGATTTGGAGTCCTGATTCATTAAAATTTGTCAAATATCATTTTCTACGATTATACACGTAAAAGCGAGCCTTCTGTAAGTCAATTAAATTTGAAGAGGGCGTTCAAAGCGAGAATATAATAAATCCATCACTTGTAAGGTACATTCGAGATAGATTTGATATTTTAAATGGACCTTACAAATATACGCAATTAACTTGTCGTAATATTTCATCAAGCAGTATCGAAGACGCGCTCTCATAATTCCTTGGTTGGTCCCTGCGATCGTGCAAACTGCGCAAATGAAAGAAAAGAAGAAAATGACGCGAGGAGGAATTATCGTTGCTCCTCTTCGCGATAGCATCGATCACCTCGAGAGAGTTCGACGATTGTTCGACGAAATCGCGATAATCTACGAGGACGAAACAACGGGTCCGGTTTCGTGTTACCGCGTGTCTTCTCAGTCGTGACAGGAAAACGCAAGAACTTTAGCTCGCGCTGGCAGTGCTTTTTATTTTTCCTCTTTTATCAAAGTGGCAACACGCCCAGAATTTTCTTGATCCAACGTCTATCTACGGTCGCGTTCTCACATGTATGTTATTCTAAGTGAGTCTTAAATCGGAGAAAGACTCGCGATGACGTTCTCATATGTACAAGTGTGCGATTTGTGTATCACTTTTAGAATAGCTTCTTGGATCTGTCAACATAATAACGGATTACGCATTGCAATAAGTGAATAACATCCATGGAGAAAAAGATTTAATTGTATCAACGTCTGGTTTATCCAAAAAAATATAATCTTATCTTCAGCGGAAGATTATATATACACATATCTTATATATGGCCTTAAAAGGATTCTTCTAAGAGCAAAAGAAAAATATTGTAAACATAATATTTTTGAAATTAAAGGAATTTGATCTTTCATTTACAGTCTAAGTTTTGTTCTTAATAAAAATTTCTTCTAATAAGAGAACATTCTGCTTAACATATTCCTCTTGATTCAAAAAGGAAAAAGTTAAATTAATATGTAATATATTTCAAAATTACTAGTTTACACTTCATTAGAAGAATACCCTCAATAAGAGTAATAAGAGTTTTCGCTTATGATTATATATAAGATTACAAGAAATAACACTTTGTAGCTAAAGTTCTTTTATTTGAATATTTTTCTTTTAGTTTTAGAAAAATCTTCCTGAGGCCACATATAAGAGAATTTCTACTAAGATTATTTTTTTTATGTTTTGATAAATAAAACAACGCGTTTTGGTTGAAGAACAGAATTTCTGTTTGATTTTTATGATACAAACTTGATTCTAAGAATCAGAACTTTTATTTTTTCCAATCAAAATGCGTCAGTTTGTTCATTACAAACTAAATATTTTTTGCTTGTATGCAAGCAACAACTGTACTAAGAAAAAAAATTTTAAAAATTATTTATGAAGTATAAAGTTTGTTTCCATGAAATAAACTTTTATTCCACAAATAAATTTTCAAGTATTTTTTTCTCAGTGTAACAACAACATATTACGTCAATATTATAATTTCTCACTCAACAATATAATTGTTATGTTATATTACATTTACATATTGTTGAGAAGAAAATGACGTTGATGTAACATTACAGTTAGTGTTTAGTGCGTAATCATCTGGTAAGTTAGAAGAAAAGATCTAATCGATAAGCAATAAACATGGGAGGTACGCGTTTCTCTCGACACGACGGGAAAAAGTTTGGTAACTATCATAACGTTGTTGGCTCAAGAAAACTTCTCTCGGGCGACTAATGGGGTATGTTTCAAGAAGAAGCGAGAAAAGGCGCATCAAGGTGGAAAGTAGAATGTAGAAAATATATATACAAGGGTGTCCCGTCACTACCGCATTATCTCTTAAGGGCGGATTTCTGAAGTAATTTGAATGAGAAAATCCTAATACAAAAATGGCGAGGCTACAATACTTTTCAAATTATAAACGATTAAACTTGACCAATTATACTGGCTAAAGTACGCGCGCTCAGGTGCATGCACATGTCGTCCCTTTTCCAAATATTGATACGGAAGTTCTATACATATAACAATATATGTAATAATCTGCCTTTTTTATCATTTAAATAAACATATCGCAAATAATAACAATCTCGTCAAAATGTTATGAATAAAATATCACACAATAGATTTATGAGAATCAGTAAGCTGTCACACATTTGACGTTTCTTTCAGGAACTTACAACTAATTTCATATCTTATGCAAATTCTCACTTATGTGCATACACCTGTACCATTGTGTGTTGTACCGTACCTGAGCGCGCATACTTTAGCCAATATAATTTGTCAACTTTAATCGTTTATAATTTGAAAAGTATTATAGCCTTGACATTTTTGCATTAGGATTTTTTTCTTCAAATTACCTCAGGAATCCGTCCTTAAAAGATAATGCGGTAGTGGCGGGACACCCTGTATATATATATATATATATTGAAAGTTTAAATATTTGTATTTAAAAACCAAAACAATAAGAATGTCCAAAATTAGGTACCAGTATTATTAGTGTACAGACATTGATACTTTTATCTCAGATGACAGAGACAAAATTTATGTCTGAACTATTTGTGAAATTTAGTAAGAGAGTCTCTCTTTGCGACGTCCATTCAAATTAAGACCGGGTTAATAATTGGTAACGAGATCTAAATTTTTAAATCTACAGATATTGCTAGAATGCTGCTACTGCGAATTCTACGTACCACAGACAATTTTCTAGCAGATACAAAAAAACAGCGGTAAATTTTAACTGTGACATTTAGAATTCTGCCTGAGCCAGCAAGACATTTTTTGAGTAGCATTCTGCGTTATTTCTGACTTTGAATTAATCCTTGTTTTCGTGAAACGCGAGTGGACGGGGAACTCAAAATAACGATTCAAATGTGTTCCGAGGATGAACAAACTCACGACGCCGCCCGACTTTCCACCTTCGCGAAAGAAAATAAAGAAATTCATGTACGATGTGATAAGTCGGAATACGCAGGTGTTACGCCAGGACCCGCTGTGTCGCTTCGTCCTCGATCCAGTCGAGATCGCTTGGTCTCGAGTAGATCGTTGCGAATAGAATTCGACTATACGAGATACAACGTAATTAGCGATAGCATCAGCGGTAGTAATAGTAATAGTCATAGTAGTAATAGTATAGTAATAATATGATAGTAGTAATAGTAATAGTAGTAGTAGTAGTAATAGTAGTAGTAGTAGTAGTAGTAGTAGTAGTAGTAGTAGTAGTAGTAGTAGTAGTAGCAGTAGTAGTAGTAGTAGTAGTAGTAGTAGTAGCAGTAGTATCCTATGAAAAAAAATACATAGAAAAACACGGAGTCGGTATATAATATATTTATATATAACTTTTTATCACGTTTTCTCGTTTTCTCCACTTTAATATGCGACGCATCGACGTTATATTGTACAAGACGTAACGTTAGGAAGAGAAAGCGGGAGAGGACGAAGTGGAGCAAGGAAGGACGAAGAATGATGAGGCGGGATGGATTTTCGCTGACTTTTCATCGGTACGACGCGCGAATGCTTGACCCCTTTCTTCATCTGCGCGTGCAGGGATGCGGTCTGGTACGATGCAAATAAAAGAGAAGAGATTCGTCAACTGTTAACGAACGAGAAACAGAAAATGCGTTTGTGTCTTGCAAAGAAAGAAGAATCTCCGGATCTGAGGATCAAGCGTCCCGCGTAATTGCCATTGCCTGAGTTTGTCGCGCTTATCTACGCATTCCTGCTCTCGTTTCTTCTTCGTGCTACATCGAAAGAAAAAGTGCGTCGCGATAGAAGCAAGACTCGGTGGTGTCACCGAAAATTGAAGAAACCCGTCGGAGACGCGCTCGCGAGACCGCTGAGCATCTTACGTTGCTTCATTCACTTTTGCCCGAGGCGTCGACGACGTATCGAAGTCGCATGATTCTCTCGGATTGTGACATTGGAAGTAGGGAAGATCGTGCGAACGATTTCCTTGTCGCTTACAATACATTGTTTCGATTCGTTAATGCTCTGATATGCAGAGAGATCTACTACCAGTCTAATATATCACAAAGTATCATTCATTGAAAGAATAAAACAATTCCGGGATAGACACCGAAACTTAGGAACGATAAAACCCATATTGACAGTTCTGTTACGTGATGTATCGAATTGATAAGCGCCTTAGCCATTCATTAAGGCGCTTTGTACGATCGAAGCGATTGTGTAAGCAAAAAGTCACTTGTTTAACTCATAGAAGTCGTTCGTGTCTGATTTCCTTTCTTCTCGACGCCATAATCCAAGATTCGACGCACGTAGCTTCACTGTCGCGAAGCCCTCACGAAGATTTTGCGCCCGGTCGGATCGATTACACGAGCAGTTACGATTCGATGCAATACTTGACATGAAGTGAAGCGGAGAGTCCGCTAAACGAAAGCCGATGTAAAACAAAATCGACCGGCTGCACCAACAATTCCGGTTGTTACCGATTCACAAAGCTACTGTGAACTGCGTTACTATGTGAAGTATGTGAATTATGTGACAGATAAGACCACGAAACATCAAATAGAAATGACGATATTCGACACGTCTCAGACACGCGTAAGAAGAAGTGCGTCTGATAACGTTGGACTGATGATATCACCGATTTGATCAGACTTATGCTACATCGACAATTCTCGACGATGCGAGTTTACGGTATACGTTTTCCAATAAATCACATGTAGAAAAAGAAGTGGAACATTACAGGTGATTCCTGTGAGTATCTGTGTGAGTAATTCCCGTCTCCTCTTTCTCAAATTAACAGCGCGACTATGAGAAATAGGGGAGCGCAGAAATAAATGAGAGTACAAAGGAATTCCACTGGTGAATACAAAAACGTCGGGAGGCGCTTTCCCCGGCCTCGGACGTGAGCGGAAAAAAAAACAGGCAGTGAATTGTGTCGTTGGTGCAATCGACCATAATGAATAGTTGAACAATGAGACGAAGTTTTGAGATTCGAGAGTCTTGAATTCATCGTCCACATTTAGAGTCGCGCAACCATCAGCGATGGGGTTTGCGGGAAATTTGATATGGAACAAAATCGCACTTAATTTCCAAATGAAGGGCGGCATCAGACGGTTGCGTCGAACGCTAAACACGGGACACGGTTTGCTTTATAAACG